AAAAAAAAAAAAAAAAAAAAGCCAAAAGGCCGAGAAAGTTGATTCTGTAGCGAAGTTGACCGGAGGGTCCTTCGGGACATCCGTTAAAATTGGAACGATACAGAGAAAGAAGATTAGCAAATGGCCCCTGCGCTTTCAAGGATGACATGCATAAATCGAAGTTGACGGGGTGGGGGGGGCACTTTGGTGAAAGTGAAAATTTCACTCCGGTAATTTGAAAACAATATTTACTGGCAAATTACCGCTAAAGTGGGAAATTGGTTCCGCAGTTGATGGGGGGCGCTTTGGCAAAGTTAACGTGAAAAACGTGAAAAAAAGCGTGAAAAAAAACGTGAGAATTGCACTTCGTGCGAATATGAAGAATCTCCGTTTTAATTACCGCTGATTTCAAAATTAGGCTTACAGATTTTTTTTTCACGTTAACTTTGCCAAACTTGAAGTCAGCGGAGTGCAATTTAATTACCGAACAATACTTCGAAGTCGATTTTTTTCAATTTACGCTTTTACAGATTTTTTCCAAGTTCGGCGAAGGGCACTTTTTACCTTTTGCCAAAGTGCCCCTACCGACTTCGAACTTCGGTAATTAAATTGCCCTCCGCCGAACTTCCAAGTCGATAGGGCACTTTGGCAAAAGCGAAAAAGTGCCTTCGCCGAACTTGGAAAAAATCTGTAAAAGCATAAATTGAATACTCGCTCTCAATCGCTCTCGCTTGAGCCAGACGCAGACGAGCAGGTCGAGAACACGGTACCCGATCGCGATCGTCCGTTCCTCTGTCTGTGGAGATGTGTGTATGTGTGTGTGTGTGTGTGTGTGTGTGTGTGTGTTATGGAACTTGGGTGCAGTCAGGGTTCGAGTTTGAAAGTGTACTTCAGGCAAAATGCCTGAAAATGTTAAAAAAAAAAAAAAAAAAAAAAGTTGAATGCATACAAGCCAGGTTTCGGGTCGGGTAGGGTCACGTGGGGCCTGAAGAAAATGTTGAATGCATACAAGCCAGGTTTCAAACTGTGTAAGTGACCGCGGCAGAGTTACCCCTACCCCCCCAAAAAAAAAAAAAAATCTGTGACGCTGGACCTGGTTATACTTTCCAGCAGGTGCATCTCCCCACCAATAGATTGAAGCAACCGGCGACAGACCTACTAGGGGAGAGGAGAGAGGGGGGGGGGGGGGGGGATGCTCGTATCAGCCTGGGGATACAGTGGTGGGGGGGGGCCGGTTTTCTCAAAAAAAAAAAAAAGGAAAAAAAAAAAATCCTTTAAACACAAAACGGAATATTGGCGTTTTTTTTTTTTTTTTTTTTTTTTTTGACTGAATGTTTTTTTTTTTTTTCCCAAACAAGACATATTACGAAAGAATAAGGGAGAGGCCGGGACCTCACAATTCAACCCGGAGTTATCCCGGCAGCATCAGCCGGCTTAGCTTAATACTCAAATTCTTATGAGAGGCCTGTTGGCGTTTCCCATTCGCACCCGAAGCAAAACCTTAAAAAAAAAAAAAAAAAAAAATCAAATCAAATCAAATCCAGGTTTCTGACCGGATGTCACGTCTTATCGTATTTATTTATGTTGTGACTAACAGCACCCATGAGGCAGAGCTGCGCTGGGATCCCTACCTACCTATTCGCTTCTCCATCTTTACGGTACAGTTCCTGCGCGGTCCGCGGCTGGTAAGGTCCCGGCTACTTGAGTCCAGACCTGTACATTCTCTGTGAGTGTGATCGTGTGTGTGTGGGGGGGGTGCGTAAGAGCGAGCGGAAGGGGGAGAGAGAGAGAGAGAGAGAGAGAGAGAGAGAGAGAGAGAGAGAGAGAGAGATGGCGTCATGGGTATCAATGGGGTCGTCTGGGGCGTCCGGTGGGTCTTTCACGCTAGCATGTCATCAGCACGGCAAGTCAAGGGTGCGTCTCGGCAGAGTGTGGAGAGAGGGATCGCGGCACTATTTCGTCGAATGGAGAATCGACGTAGTACTCTTGTCCGACGTGGAAGCGGCCTTTGTGCATGGCGACAACTCCGGGGTCGTGGCCACAGATTCGATAAAGAATACGGTAGCGCTCTCTCTCTCTCTCTCTCTCTCTCTCTCTCTCTCTCTCTCTCTCTCTCTCTCTCTCTCTCTCTCTCTCTCTCTCTCTCTCTTTTGCATGCACAAACACGCCCACACATGCCCACACATGCCCACACACGCCTACACACGGACGCACGAAACATTATTGTCTGTAAGTTTTCTCTTCTTTCTTTATTGCGTGTTTCAACTTTTTTTCTTCTCCTCTTTCCGACTATTTTCTTTCTGCTGTCCCCTTTCTCTGCTCTTTTCCTGTGCCCCTCATGTGTGTCTAAGTGAGCAGCACCTGTAAGACGTGCCAAGAAGTCATAATGATTGTCTCTTTGTTTGGAGTACCAGCATACGTCGTACGGTTTTGGCTCAGGCTATCGGCTTGTGAATGGGATCAATGGTCGTCTGCGCACAGCTGCGTGTACGTTCTAATGTCCCTCAAGGCCTCAACCACCGATTGGTGTATATTGGGACGCTGACAGGAGCGCTGAACTTAGGAAAGGTAAGCTACTAAGCTGGACACGTGCGTGCAATCAGAGGAGCGAGCAAGCAGAAGGTACATACGTGGCAGCTCCGGCAAGGAACTGCTATGATGGAAGAAATTCACTACGTTCCCATCCCGATCTGGTTCGGGAAAGGAACTGCTGTGATCGAAGAAATTCAATTCGAAAGAACGATCATCTGATTGAGAAGTGACAATGATCCCGGTCCCGATCCCGATCTGTTACTAACATTCCGATCCGGATCTATTTGTGGTTTGAATGCGAAAGGTAGGAAACTTGAACTGAGGACCGGGATCCCGATCCCTATCTGTTACGAACATTCCGATCCCGATCAGTGAAGGCGAACACTCGCAGACGGAGGACGAGGAATAAACGTGGAACCAGCGTCTCCATCCCGATCCCGATCTGTTACCAACATTCCGATCCTGATAGTGGTCCTGACCTATCAGTTACGAACATGATAATTATTGTGGAACCAGCGTCCCCATCCCGATCCCGATTCAGTTTTGTGACTGCATCGGGGTGAAGCAAGATCCTGAGTCCTGACCTCCTCAATATTCTGATTCAGAAGTCTTTGTTTAAAGTTTTAAGTTTAAACAAAGAAGATAAAAGGACGAAATTGAACTAAGTCTTTGTTTAAAGTTTTAAGTTTAAACAAAGAAGATAAAAGGACGAAATTGAACTAAAGTCGCTAATAATAGAGGGGGATGCTGGCTGAAAGCATGGCGACTCGTGCGTATTCTGTTTGGATTCTCGAATTCGAAGTAGAAATCAATCATGGAATTAAGTTGTTGCTTAATGAATCAGATGCTAAAAATGCAATCGAATGTGGTGGGGGCTTACAGCATGCCTGTTGGGATTTCCGCGGGGGCTAACAGCATGCCTGTTCTCTGTTTTTTAGACCGGGTTCGTAGCGCTCATTGTATGATGAGGATCCGGTTTTTTTTACCGGGTTCGTAGCGCCCACTACTTGGTATGATGAGCTCAACCTCGGAGCGGTTGTCAAGTGGGATTTCCACGGGGGCTTACAGCATGCCTTTTTTTCTTTTTTTTTTTGGGAGAAAGACAAGTCATAAAAGAGGCCTATCGCACCATCCTGTACCAGCCCTTTCAAGTCGGCATCAGGGTTACTTTCGACTGCCCTGAGCTATTTGATTAAGAAAGCTAGCGTCCCACATTTTATTGTTTTAATCTTCTGTCCATGAATCAGATGAGGTATGAAATTGATAAAATAAATCGTCTCGATAGGGTAACTGGCTGGACGTGGCATTACTGCCCGGACCTATGATATCAGAGAGATGTTTACACAATTGCCCCACCGAGAAATTCTTAAAGCTGTGGAATGGACTACCACACTATTTTTGAATCTTGACCAAAGGTATTAAGTGAATCCGAGTGAAAATTGGAGGAAAAATAGCTGCCTTTAGGAAGTCGCACGGAGAAGCAGGATGGAAATCAGTCCGTCTTCTCCTCAATGCATCCTCAATCTGAGTGGTGAATGAGTAGAAGGATTGGGAGATCCTCGGCAGTGTGCGTCGAGGAAACGTAGGGAAGAAGTTGGTATCGCCATGATAGTAAAAATCGTGTCTTCTTCTTCTTTATGGTGTTTCATTGTCTTAATATCTCCAATGAATGCAGGCGCGTGCTTTAATGTGGCAGAGGGATGACCTCATCATTCCTTTCTGCCTTGAGTGACAAAAACCAGAAAATTTGTGAGAAGTGTGAGATGCATGGTTGGTCACAATCCAGTGAGTTTGAGGACTGACCCATGTGTATGGATTTCTCTTGTCTTAAATCATCTTGTTGGTAAACTGTGCAAGGTGTATGTGCTCGGCAAAGAGCTTAAGCAAAGAGTTTCTGTGGAAGATTTCGGCATTAAGCTGGCAGAGCATTTTGTCAAAACCTATCCTCAGGTAGGTGCTGCATCTGTCCGTCTGTGCATCATCTATCTTCCTGCTCACCTGCCCGCTCGCTCACCTGCCTGCCCGC